GATGATTATGTGTTAACAGGTAACTACTATGATGATGACTGATTGTTGGATGGTAATTACCATGGTGATGATTATGTGTTAACAGGTAACTACTATGATGATGACTGATTGTTGGATGGTAATTACCTTGGTGATGATTATGTGTTAACAGGTAACTACTATGGTGATGACTGATTGTTGATTTGTAATTACGTTGGTGATGATTATATACTGGAATGAATATGGTGAACAGTATATGCTATAAGGCAATTACCATGGTGATTATTATGCAGTGACAGGTAATTATCATGCTAATGAATATGTACTTGAAAACAATTATCATGGTGATGAATACATGCTGGACTCCAGACACTAATTTGCTCCAGCTTTTTTGCACCATGATAAATGTATAGATATAAATGGAAGTATACATTAGATTAGTTTATAAGGCAATATTAAACAATGATAAACATATAGATATAAATGGAAGTATACATTAGATTTGTTTATAAGGCAATATTAAACAATGATAAACATATAGATATAAATAGAAGTATACATTAGATTAGTTTATAAGGCAATATTAAACAATGATAAATGTATAGATATAAATGGAAGTATACATTAGATTAGTTTATAAGGCAATATTAAACAATGATAAATGTATAGATATAAATGGAAGTATACATTAGATTAGTTTATAAGGCAATATTAAACAATGATAAACGTATAGACATAAATGGAAGTATACATTAGATTAGTTTATAAGGCAATATTAAACAATGATAAACATATAGATATAAATGGAAGTATACATTAGATTAGTTTATAAGGCAATATTAAACAATGATAAACATATAGATATAAATGGAAGTATACATTAGATTAGTTTATAAGGCAATATTAAACAAATGTTGGTGAAACACTAGAAATCAATAGGTCTAAATGTTTTGATCAAAATCAAGGCATCTACACATTTCTCTTAATCTGTTCATTTCAGATTCAAAAAGCATTAGAAAACAAATAGGCCTAACTAATGAGTTCTGGTTCCTAGTGAAAGGCTTTTTGGCCAGTGACTTGTGAGAGACAAAAGATGGATCGGAAATGCTTTGTAACATAACATAATGTTTAGGGACAACAAGGGACCTATTGGTCCATCTAAGCTGTCACATCCTCTAAACTAAACTAAAACTATTAGAAAAACACGACAAAAAACTTGAAGCCAACCCTTATCATTCATACAGTTATCAAGCTTTCTCTTAAACTCGTTTTACATTTACTGCTTCCACATGTCTCTCATTTTAATTCTGAAATGAAGAAGTTATGATAAATCTGGGGAAAAATTATCTGCGGCATATGTGATTATATAGTAAATCTTAGGCCTTTTGATTTCTAATGCTTTGCCAGCTTTCAGCATTTAAGCCTTAATTTTAATGATATTTGTAACTTTCTTATCTGAGAAGTACATCTTTGCAGTCTGAGGTGTACATAAGTTGTGTGAACAGCATTCTCGAACTCTTTCAACTGTAATAAATAACAGCTGGTATTTGCTATTATTTCTAAACAAATAGTGAGATGTAATGAAACATCCAGGTTTACAGGATTAAAGAAACTGGATGTGACATTTATAATAAAAACAAAAGAGTCATTTTTAGCTCAACATTTCACTGAAAGTCATGTAAGATCATAAAATATGTGGCAAGAATTTCAACAACAAATGAGTAATGCGTCATAAGTACTAGTGTTTCTTTAAAAATACATGAAGCACAGAAGGACTAGAAGACACAAAATTTGATGTTCGAACAATTACTCATAATATAGTAGAGATGAGATCTGAATTTTTTACTATTTTTTATAAATTATTCTTGTTTAATTAGCACAATCCACACAAGTACTACTCATATAATACTTTAGTCAATCTAAAGATTAAATACCTTTTACAGCAGCATCTCATAATCTGCCTTAATCTAACTAAGTTTGAATATTTCCAATAGTAATTTCTTATGAGTAATTACACTTATCTCAATTGGTCAAAGTCAGCCCACTCCAGACAGAAATGCTCATCTCATTTCCTCAACCTAAAGTTAAATACTCTCCACAGCAGTGTCTTATAAATACTATCCATCTAAGTTTGAATATTTCCAATAGTAATTTCTTATGAGTAATTACACTTATCTCAATTGGTCAAAGTCAGCCCACTCCAGACAGAAATGCTCATCTCATTTCCTCAACCTAAAGTTAAATACTCTCCACAGCAGTGTCTTATAAATACCATCCATCTAAGTTTGAATATTTCTTAAATATATTTCTCTTTTGATTTAAAGTTAAAAAACTCTTTACAAAAATGGTTTGAAGTACCTTTTCATTGTTCACATATCACTTTCTTATGAATATGACCTATTTTACCAAATCTAATGTCAAGATACTCTCCAAAGCAGTATTACCTGTCTCAGTCTATCTAAAGTTAGGATACTCTCCACAGCAGAAACACCTCTTGTGTATTTCTCAATATAACTTTCACCATCATTGGTAGCTGCATCTTCACCAGAAGCTGCCATCAAAGCTAACGTCTCTCTGTCTTCAGGGTCCTCAGAGGCCTAAGAATGATACACAAACAATAATGGCTCATCACTCATTGCTACTATCAAACACCAAATAAATATTGTAGCTCAACACAAGAAGAATGGAGAAATTACAATTTATTTCTTGTGAAATCACAATTTTAAAAATAAGGCACTGCATCAATATATACAGACATCACGTACGGGGCTGAGTATACTATATTAAAACAAGTTTGAATATGCATACCAACAAGTCATGTAACAACTACAGCCAATATAAGGTTGTGGTAGAACAGCATATATTAGAACTACAATTTGACATTGTTTAGCCTTTTGTAGGTAATGTGATGACACCAAAAACTGATCACTTTCAATAAGGGTATGTAACAGTCCTTTTCAACATCAAATAATCATACCTCTGATCATAAAGATGTGTTCAGATTGAAGATTTAGAATTTTCAAGAGGGGGATTTCACCCACCTTTATGGTATTGGAAAAAAAAATGCATATGGACCAGTTAGGGGCATCAGGACCATCTAAAAGAAGAGGAAGTCGTACCATAGCCATAGTAAGCAAAGTGTGGCATTTTGTAAACGGTGAAAATCCATGAATATGGAGGTCAGTGACAAAAGCTGTCTACTTGCTTCAGGTAATAGTATTCAACAAAACCTAGAAGGATTTCCATCTGGAGAATAGACCAACAGGGTATGGGTTCACCAATATAAGGTTTTCAGTCACGCCTCCCATCCAACCATCACATACCTCAAGCAGTTGGATAATGAAAGAAATATTCATGCTGTGTCATATGAAGACATATTGGTCAAAGCATCAGATGCAATGCTTATGGGTTTCTCTGGAACTAGACAAGGACTGAGAAATCATCATCCTTGTGCACAAAATGGATTATGGAAAGCAAACAGGGAGGAGTGGTGTGCTTTTGATATGGCAGCTTTACAATGTAGTTTTTGCATGGTAATCAGATAAAGCACCACCAGACATGGCAACATGGACTGTAATGATGTGGTGAGGCTCCAAGATGGCTTTAACATTCTTAACCATCTGTAGTACAATTATTCAGTTAGAAACAAATTAATTTTTGTTTCTTTAAACCAATTTTACTGAAATAGCTAGAAGAAATTTTAGATTATTTTGTACACTTACAAAACTCATATGAAAGACCACTTTCTCAACAAGTAAATAGTGTTATAACTCAAAGTAGTTCTGAAGCAATGTCCACTTTAACTTTTACTTCTACCTCTAATTCAAAGCTAAAATTACATCCTGTCCATTAGCAATTTTTACATCACGAGAAGAATCTTACAGTTTTGTAACTAAATTGCTGAAAGTAAATTAAAGTATTAAAAGCTTCTCTACCTGTTGTATTCTTAAAAAAAAAAAAGAAATCACAGGAAGTTAACATTTTTATAGATATTTTGTAACAATCGTTTTACAACAAACAAAAGTACCGGTCTCCAGTGACAGGAAGAGTTTCAGTTAATCTATCAATTTAAATTATTTCAAGGACTTTAAAAAGGTTAATGGTGTTTCACTCAGAGCCAAAGCTCTGAGTTACTTATGCCACTCACTGCAAAAAGTAATTGTTGACTATTTCAGTCATGCTAAGAGCCATTCAACAATAACTTAAAGTATAAATCTACATTTTTATTCTTTACGTCACATCACATTTTGAAATGATAATGAAATTCATTCCTAACAATTTAGTGTAGAATATCCTGCTTGTAAAATTAAAATTTGACATTATTCAAGCCTGTTCTCCCGTCATTTCAAAAATTAATGTTCAGCTTTGCTTGTGTTTACTCCTTTTCAAAGGGAGACAGACAAATGCCTGAACAGACAACACGGTTTACAATATATATAAGATTGTATCTAATGAAGTACACCACTTTTACAACTTTTATAATTAAACATTAACTGTATGGAAGCCTGTGCAATGGTTCTTAGCAATGTGACAGCCATTCTTCTTTCCCGCACATTTATCCTCTAGGAGTAAACCCTTTTGGGGCAGTCTTCAAAGATATTTACACTATAGTGACAGTCATTCTTCCTTCATGCACATTTATCCTCTGGGGGTAAACCCTTTTGGTGCAGTCTACAAAGATATATATATACACTATAGTGACAGTCATTCTTCCTTCATACACATTTATCCTCTAGGGGGTAAACCCCTTTAGTGCAGTCTTCAAAGATATATACACTATAGTGACAGTCATTCTTAATTCATGCACATTTATCCTCTGAGGGTAAACCCTTTTGGTGCAGTCTACAAAGATATATACACTATAGTGACAGTCATTCTTCCTTCATGCACATTTATCCTCTGGGGGTAAACCCTTTTGGTGCAGTCTACAAAGATATATATATACACTATAGTGACAGTCATTCTTCCTTCATACACATTTATCCTCTAGGGGTAAACCCTTTTGGTGCAGTCTACAAAGATATATACACTATAGTGACAGTCATTCTTAATTCATGCATATTTATCCTCTGAGGGTAAACCCTTTTGGTGCAGTCTACAAAGATATATACACTATAGTGACAGTCATTCTTAATTCATGCATATTTATCCTCTGAGGGTA